CAGCACATCAGTCAGAGCAGTGACAGAGATGATGAGGAGCAGCAGCTCTGAGGAAGGTTTAAAACCTGACTCTGATAAAAGCTGAACGCCAATAACATCACAGAGCTGTTCATGTGCAGCTAACATGTCCACTTTATATGATATTACAAAACTGTGTTATGATCCAGTCCATGACATGTTTCTGCTTTAGTGAAGTCGTGTTAGTAACAGCACGTTAACACTGCTGGGAACATCCAACGCTGACGTGACGCAAACATGAAAACCAGCTGAGATCTCACAGTGGACGCACAGTCTGAGCTTTGACACGGGGAACTTTTCCTCTCCTGTTTCAGTGTTCGGTTTAGTGTCAAGTTTCTGTTGTGACTCATCCTCACTACGAGGTGCAGATGCTGGACGTCACACGGTGAATAAACGAGTAAAGACTTGAGGTCTGCAGCTTCTTCTTCTTGACATATCTGCTGAATGATGACAGACAGGAAGTGCACTTACACAAGTGCACAAGGCCAAAGTGTTAACCTGTGTTAGACTCAAACTCTGTGAGAATATAAACGTCACTGACAAATTAAACTGAAGCTCAAACTCAGGCTGCTGTGTGGGCTGTCACGGTCGTATTGCATGTTCAGTCCAGCCGGTTACGAGAATCCTCGGTGACAATGACGAGATATGTTGCAAGTTCAAGTGCAGTTAATGCTAATGCTTCACAGCCGGGCAGCCAACGCAAGGGTTCAATGTTGAAGGCTGAAAGAAAACAACAAAGACTGAGAGGTTTCCCGAGGTCACCGCAGAGACGGGCCACGGCGAGGAAGGAGATCTGGGAGCATGGGAAAGTCACCTCAGACACAGATATGAATGGCAGACGATGGTGGAGGGGTGCAGAGAAGGGCAGATGGTGCCCTTGGCTGTGTGTTGCCCAACGAGAAGAAATAACTGGGGGTTGGGCGCAAATAAGCATGGTCACAATGCCATTGTCTCTACTGGGCCCTGCTTCAATGGAGGCTCTCCCAACTTGACCCCAGCGACCCCACCAGTGTTTCCTCCACAGCTCAGTGGCATTCAGCCTCCACTGTGACTGCAATAAAATCATCACAGGCCACAAATCCTCATGTGTCACCTATCGAGTTAGAGCTGCGTGGATATTATTCAGCTATAATCGAGTCAGGAGGTGGTGACAGCCTCTGTTTCAGATCGTTTACAACAGGACACCATCAGACCTCCAGGTCTCCTCCAGCCAGCTGCAGCCAGTGGGAGTCACATTGTTGTGATAGTGGGAACACCACACAGCAGCTGATCACCTGCTCACACACGGAGCTAAACCAGCATCCACATAGTTTCACTTTATGTTTACTTTATTTTCTTTCATGCTTCCTGTTACGATGTCATAAAAACACACTACAGTGACCTCAGAGGAACGTCTGTATAAATATAAATAAGATGTTTTGGCCCCTCCCAGCACATCCACACAGGATCTGTATTGGGTTAAAATCCATTTTATTTACAGAATGAATCAATGACAGTAAAAGCTTTGTGTTTCCTGTCTGCAGGCTCGGCCTCCGAGCTTTCTTTCTTGGTAGAACCCACGGACGTGACTGCGGTGAGGGATCGGCCACTCATGCTGGACTGTCAGGTCCAGGGCGAGGAACCCATCACAATCACGTGGCGCAAGAACGGAGCGCCCGTACCCAGCACCCCACGGGTGCGAGTGCTAGAGAACGGCACGCTGCTAATAACGAGCTTCCAGAAACGCAGAGAGGGCAGCGATGCAGACGTGGGCGAGTACGACTGCGCTGCACAGAACCGTTACGGCCTGCTCGTCAGCCGCAAGGCCAAAGTCCACCTCGCATGTAAGTGATCGACAAGAATACACACATCTTTAGCAGCTGATATGTTAGGAAAAACACATTTAGGTGCAGAAAGCTGGTGCTGAGTCTGAGCATGCTCAATGAGGAGGAGCGTTCTGATCTGGCTGGTTAAAGCAACCCAGCTCACGTCCCAGATTCAGGTTTTTAAGACCACTAACGTTGTGTTACACAGCAGTGTCGATGTGTTTGATAAGATGCAGAGACACCCAAGCTGTTTATAATCAGTCTGAAGAGAACCGAAGCTTTGCAGTGGCTGTAGCTCAGGCGGTAGAGCAGGTCATCTACTGATCGGAAGGTTGGTGGTTCGATTCCTGGCTTCCCCTAGTCTCCATGCCAAATATCCTTGGGCAAGATATATATGCATCCATCGGAGTATGAATGTGTGTGAATGTTACTAGAAAGCACTTAGATCAATGTGCTTGTGCGAATGGGTGTGAATGGGTGAAAGCACAAGTTGTGTACAGCGCTTTGAGTGCTCAGAAGAGTAGAAAAGCGCTATATAAGAACCAGTCCATTTACCATTTACCAGCGCTGGTTTGATGTGTCTTAGTTAAAGCAAAGCAATCAGAGAAGGAAAGAAAAGTTCAGTGTGAACGTCGGAGGCTCTGCTGCAGTCAGTGCACTTTGACCTTTCTCTGTTCACACACAC